GCAGTGATGGAAAAGCTTCCAGGCCGCTTGGTGTGTCTGGTGGACTGGCCAGAGCACAGCACCGATGTGTACGGCAAAACGTGAGTTCGACTTTTCCAGGAGTGGGGGACGAGGCAAGGAAAATATAGAAGAAGTGTACAAAAAAAAAAAAGAAAGAAAGGAAGGAAGGAAGGGTGGGAATGACTCAGAACTCCTTGGAATAGGGAAATCCTTCCCCTTCCCCTAGCCAGGGTCAGTGCTACGTGGAAGCAAAATCTCCATTCATACCTTGGGGCACATTAAGGTTAGTTAAGGTCCAAACATCCCTCCATGCCACATTCCCTGTCCTTCTTGGATGCTCATCCTCCTGGGAAACTCCTGTTCAGGTGCAAACACTCACTGTTTTGGCTGTGGGAATATGGTCAGTGTTGCCTCAGGGGCTGATTCACACACACAGGAACAGCTCTGGATTTTGCAGGTGTATCTCTAAAGGCTTCCCAGGGTGAGAGTTATTCCTCCAAGAGACAAAGAGGGATTTACCAGGAGTATCTTCACCAGGTAATAACAGCACAAAGTGATTTGGGAATTACCAAGTCCAAATGTCTCAAAATTCACTCAACAATGTCAAAAAAAGATGTTACTCTGTGGCATCAGCTGAGGCTGGGAGGCAAACACTGGGCTAGAAAGGCTCAGTAGGAATCCTTCCTTCCCATTAAGGTGACAGCTAATTAAACCTGGCATTTCCAAAGGGTCCAGCAATCCCACTGCTCCAACCCTCCGTGGTTTGCCCTTTGAAGTCCATGAGCTGTGCAGGAAGTTTAAACATCTTGTTAAGGCAAAAAGAGAGAGGAGGAGGGGGAAAAAAAAGGCATTTGTGATCTCCATCCCCATGGAGTGATGAATTAGGGCTGTGGAATTGTGCTGGAGCCAAGGCAGGAGCCTCACCCACACACAGAGGTGCTGAAAACCAACCTGAGCCTGGCAAAGGTCTCTCTGCAACACAAAAGAGATGAGTTTGTCAGTCAGCAGCGAGTGGCAGGTTGCAGAGAGCTGGTTGGTATCCTTTGACATCTTATTTATTTGCCTTGTGAGGCAAGAACAAAGCTGGGGCTGACCCAGCTGATCTCCAGAGGTGTTTTCCAACCTTCATTATTCCCTGACAAATGCAGCTAGGGTGAAAAAATGCCTCTGGCTCAGCCCACGTGGCCAGGATGGGGCTCAGCCCCCCTCAAATGAAACAGCAACCACCACTAGCTCAGGGCCTGATTTGGACAGATCATTTCACTGGAGCTGTTGCTTTTCCAAGCAGCTAATCCAAGAGAAAAAAATGCCACCATTAACCTGTGACTGATTTGCCACTGGAAATCAGGCGCCGCTTCCCAGCCAGAGCATCCCCTGCTCCCCGCGAGCCCAGGGGAGGGCAACCAGGAAAACTGGGAAAACAGATGCTCACAGAAGCTTTCAAATAGCCAAACCCCCCAAAATTTGGGGATTGCTAAGAACCTGCAGCTCAGCAGAGCCTCCAAAGCAGATGAAGTCACTCGTGCACAGCCTGAGATGGTATTTTACTGCCCTAAAATAACTGCAGGGACAGGTGTTGGAAGCACTGACAACCACTCTCCCTGCTCCACGGCCTTGGAGCAGTTATTTTGGGAAGTCACCAGTGGTAGCTGCTTTGTTTGCAATGCCAGGATGAAAAATAACATCATTTTTTTCAGTTCCCAGTGAAAAACAGGCGACTTCCAACCCTGGGGCAGGGGGTGGATTTCTCTGGGCAGAGTGAGCCTGGAAAGCACAGCCTCAGCATGCAGAGGGTACCAGAGACTGGAATAGGCATGTGAGCTCTTTTCCCTGGGGAATTGTGCCCTTTCCCAGGCTGTGGCCAGGGGGAAGTGAGCAGAGCAGGCACACGATGAGCCTGCAGCAGGATTCGATTCTGTGGCTGCTCCCTGCTGCCAACCATCGATTCCTCTCCTGTCTTTGCTCCCCAAACAGATGCCTGATCCACTCCCAATTTTATTAGCTGATATCTCACTTTGTTCAGGGAAGGGGAAAACTGTCCCACTCACTGGTTTCTGCAGGAGATAACAGCCCACGGCAACATCCTTTACATGCCAACAGCCCTGAGCTTTGCAAGGCAAAAGGAGATGGCAAATCCATTCCCAGGCATCGCTGTCCCGTGGCTCCTACAGGCTCAAGATCCTAAATCCCCACACCAAAGACCTTTCAATTACAAAGCTCTGAGGGCTCTGCTCCTGGGCATCTTGTAGGCAGCATAACATACAAATAGTCCCACGTGGAGACTCATTTTCAGCACCCACGATCCAAAAGCAAGATCCAAAAGCTCTTTGGAATCTCTGGCCATGCCCAGACAGCTCTGAAAATAAGGGTCAGCCTTGCTTACGTTGTCTACCAGCTCCTCTGAGGCATTTCTGCATCCCTCTCAGCTGTTTCAGATCCTGTGTTACATGGGAACCACAACAAAATCTTCATCGCAGAGCCACGGAGACGCCTCTTTAATTAGCAAAATGGAAAACAGCCCCACAAAATCCATCTCAAATGTGATTAGCTCTGGGTGGAGCCAAGGCCAAATGAGATTGCAGGTACAAAACAAGGAGGAGATGGCCTGGCAGCACGAGGCTGGGGCCAACCCCATTCCCGGTGGGAGTTGCACCAGGCATGAGGCTGATCCATTCATTACACTTTAGGGATATTATTCCATCAGAGCTCCCAGAAGGATGAGTGAGGGCAGGAGCTGAGGGTGAGTACAGGGCCTGAACTGCCTTGAAATGATGCAGCACCTTGTCTTGGGGCCAGGCATACCTCCCAAAAATCCATGCAAAGACCCTAAAGCCTCTGGAATGCAGTTCTCTCTCACCTGGCACCCCCAAAAAATCCATGCAAAGACCCTAAAACCTTTGGAATGCAGTTCTCTCTCACTTGGCACCCCCCAAAAATCCATGCAAGGACCCTAAAACCTTTGGGATGCAGTTCCCTCTCACCTGGCACCCCATAAAAATCCATGCAAAGACCCTAAAGCCTTTGGGATTCAGTTCCCTCTCACCTGGCAGTAGGTGGGATGTTTTGCAAGCCACATCTCTGTACTGTTAGAACTCATCTTTCTACAGGGAACAGAGGTATTTTGCAAGCCCTGGTGGCAGGAAGGAACCTGCAAGGTCCAAAGCCTCCATCCCTATCCTGTTTGTTAAATCCAGCATGATTTTATTCCTTTTTAAACCAGCTACTCTTTAACATAAACCCTCCCTGACCCCACTGCAACCTGCTACGGCTCCGCTGACCTCACAGCAAAGCAGCCTCAAGCCTGTGCTGACAGTTTAATCCAGAGCCTCTCATTGGATTTTGGATTTATTTAGACCTGTTATAAACAGACACAAGGATCCTGCCCTTTCCAGGAGCCTGGAGAACTGACCTGGCCACTGAATTCACTACAAAGGCTTAATAAACCACCAGAACAAGAGTTTGGCTGGTTTTGGGGTCTGGGGTTGTGCCATCTGAGCGTGATGGACCAGGATTTAGGTGAGCTGCATCCCAGCTCCAGTGTTTGCCCTGCAGGGAAAGACTTTATTTCTTCAGCTGAATATTCCCATCCTTCATATGTCAAAATGCCCCATTTACTGGCAGGACTTCCAGCTAAAAGGTGTGAGAAGAGCACACATCCATCTCCAGGATAATTTGGGGTGTAAAGAGAGTAGAAGTGAGAGTAGAGCCACTCCAGCTAAAACATCCTTCCCTTAGGAAGGAAACACAACTCATGTGGCCTCTACATCCCATCCCAGGAGGGTGTAGGGTGCCAAGCAGCAGAGACTTGGAGAAGATTGGGGTGGAAGTAGGAAGTCCTTCCTGGCCTGAGCTCTGCAGGAGTTGTGCCAAATCCTCTTTGTCCCCGTGGAACACTTTGCCTTCCAGCTCATTTTGCAAGAAAAGGACTGAACAGATAAAGGTCACACTCAAGAACCATCTTTTTTTTTTTCTAGGTATCACTTCTGCATGACCATCCTGATCTACTTCTTACCACTTCTGGTGATAGGATGTGCCTACACCGTGGTTGGGGTCACCCTCTGGGCAAGTGAGATACCTGGTGACTCCTCCGACCGCTACCACGAGCAGGTGTCAGCTAAGAGAAAGGTAAGGAGCTCTGAGCATGGCTGGGGCCATAATTCATGTCCAATCCCAACTAATCCCAGCTCCAAATCCTTCATTAGGGGTGGGAACAGTTGCATAGTGGTTGAAAATGGAACAGTGTTCTCTCTGTGTGTCCTCCACAAATGTGTGTGGTTTCACCAAGGTGTTCCCAGGAGATCTTGAATGTGCATGGTTTAACCAAGATGTTCTCAGCTGGAAATATCTCCAAGGCAAAAAAGAGATGGTCTTTCCAGAGGGTGGAATGACTGGTGGATTGGCTTCTCTGCCCTCTCTTCTCTGCACAGGTAGTGAAGATGATGATCATCGTGGTGTGCACGTTCGCGCTGTGCTGGTTGCCCTATCACATCTACTTCACCCTGCAGTACTTCAACCCTGAGTGGTACCTGCAGAGGTTCATCCAGCAGATCTACCTGGCTATCATGTGGTTGGCCATGAGCTCCACCATGTACAACCCCATCATCTACTGCTGCCTCAACGACAGGTGGGTTTGGAGAGACTTTCGGCAGCATCTTGGCACAACAGGGAGTGGAGGAGGGAGAGATACAGAGGAGTCTGATGGAGGACAGTATGGATGGAGAGTTTTTTGAGATGGTTCTGTCCCATCCTCTGCCAGGGGCTGCAGGGATGATACAATGCTTACCTAAAGTCTTTCTTAAAGTCCCTGTGGCATCTGAGGGCAGACATCAAAACAGTACCAACTCCTAACTGGGATTGATCAAGGGATTTTCCATGCCTTAGTAAAAAGTAGCATTTTTTGTGGTGGTTAGCAGTGCTTAGCTGTGTCTTCCCACTCCTAGCGAGGTCCTTTGGCCATCTCCACCCCCTCACCTCTGCCTCTCCCCACCTTTCCTCCCCGCCAGGTTTCGCGTGGGGTTCAAACACGCGTTCCGGTGGTGTCCGTTCATCAGCGCCAGAGAGTACGAGGGCCTGGAGATGAAGTCAGCCAGGTACCTACAGACACAGAGCAGCATGTACAAGGTCAGCAGGATCGAGACCACCGTGTCCTCAGCAGTGGGTGCAGCTGAAGAGGAGCTGGAGGAGAGCAGCAAGGCCAAGCGTCTCTCCATAGACATGACCTCCAACGGCTCCTCCCGCAGCGACTCCAAAACCGTCTCCGAAAGCCTCAGCTTCTACTCCAACACGCTCACCTAAGGAGCTTCCCAGCTCCAGCAGCCATTCACGAGGTGCCACCATCCCTCTTCCCTCACTGGGTGCTCCAGTGCTCGATCCACCCGGTGTCATCGCCCTGGTTTGTGACACGCCGGCATTTTTCCGTGCTGTTCCACCATCTCTTGCTGTGCTGCTCACTCCCCATCCCTGGGAGAGCCTGAGAGCAAAAGCTTTGGGTTGGTTTCATGTGTTCCATCGTGGCTGAACACAAGGGAGGTGTGACTGGACCACAGATGGGTGCAGAGGATGCAGAAATGGGACAGAGTTGGGTTGTTCTCTGGAATGGTAATTACAACACTGGCAGGTGTTTCTCTGCTCTCTGCAAGGCACCAGGGATCTCCCCATGCATCCCAATCCAATGGGAAAAATGAACCAGTCTTGCACTTCCACAGAATCATTTAGGTTGGGAAAGACCTGTGAGGTCATCAAGTCCAACCTATGACCACACACCACCACACCAACGAGACCATGGCACGAAGTGCCACGTCCAGTTCTCCTCCCACCTTTAATCTCATTCTCCCTGTCAGTCCCAGCTGGATATCCAGGGGGATATTCCATTAAAAAATCCAGCCAAAATGCTGGTTTCACCTTCAGGAGCCTGTGCATCCATGGGGAATCACTGCCCACTCATCACTCCAAATCAGATCCAGAACTTTCTGCACGTTCTCAGCTCATTTTTGGCACCCACATCCCACTGCTCCATGGTCTCCTGTTGCCACTCCAAATACAGCTCATCCAAACATCTCCAAGGATTTCTGAGCTGACCCAAAGTTTGGTTGCTGTTAATCAACCATACGTGCCAAAAGCAATCACTGTGATTTCCTACAAGGCCCAAGGTGATACGTCCTGGATAGATTCTGGAATCCTGCAGAGGTCTGGAAAAGGAGAGACCATCCTGAAATGTTTTTCCCAATGTGGAAATGGATTCCATCATAAGAAAAAGGTTTGAAGGGAGATCAAGACTTTTGCAGACTTTTTTTCTCTCAGAGGAGAGTTGAAATGATTCACTTTCACCTTCTGGATTGTGTTTGAATCAGGGATTTGCTTTTCTTGTGCATTAAACATTAAGTTTATGATGTTCTGATGGATATCCTGATGGTATCCAGTTCTGACGGATAATTTCACTGGAGCTGTTCAAACCAAGGTCTCCTTTGGTCAGTAAATGTGTCAACACACACTCAAAGGGGGGAAAAAAGTCAATAAAATGACAAGTGGGGAAACTTGGCTTGTTAGGAACAAGCCCAAAAGTTTGGGGGGGATTTGGGGGCAATTTGCTCCTTGCTGCTGGTCCAGTCTCTCATTTTTGGTGTAGAAATCAGACTCCTAAGTGGATTCCACCAGTGGAGAGTGAGAGATGAGCAGTGGAGAAATGCACGACAGATTTGCACAGGGCAAGGAAACTGCTCATTTATTTTCAAGCAGCTGAAGATCAGACCCTGCTGAGCACACTCTGGGAGCAAAGCAGAGATGACTTTTGGAGCTCTTTGACTCTTCAGCCTCCAGAGTGGATCCAGTCATTAATAATAAACCTCCAGCCACGATGGTTCTTGGAGAAAAATTCACACGTGTTTAAGCAATGAGTCCAGGAGAAGTTAAATGAACGAGCAAATCAATGGATCCAAGAGCAGCAAAAAGGCTGCAAAAGAAGATTGACAAGAAATGACCATTTCTACTCCAAATCCTGCCAAGTGCCATCAGTGAGGAGCAGCTCTTCCAGCCACTTCCAGCCTCTTCCCAACTCCTGTGACTACACCCTGCTAAAACTGCCACGTGCCTCAGGCACACACTGGAACAGACTTTTTCCTGCCTAAATTTCCACTTCTCACTGTTCTTGTCGCCTTAAGCTGTATTCCCTGGCTGCTGCCTCCCAAAACCCTGTGGTGTGCAGAAGGGCAATGGCATGACCAACAAATACCTTGCCTGGGTATTTGTTTCTGTCCCAAGGAGCAGTGATTGGAGGGGCAGGTGACACCAAGGGTTGAACACAAGGGTTGGATGAGGAAACCTTTCCAGGAGCTGTGCTGCCAATCCATGAGAAGGTGCTACAAACCACAGCCAAATCCTGATCTTCTTCCAGCTGCCAACCCAAATTCAGGAGGAAAATTAAACCAAATATCTCCAAGTGATGTAGAGAGGTGAATAAGGTAAGAGGTGATTAGCTCTGGACACGCCGTGCACGAGGGTTTGCATCAGGTTCTGAGCCCAGAAGAGTCAGAATTTAGGTAGAAAAAGGGAAAAACTATATATATGTGTATATAGAGATATATATAACCACTCTGCCCTTTTGGCTTCCATGTTTTGTGCCCCAGGGATGGATGATGAGTTGTGCAGAGACACGACAAGTGTCTTCTCACAAGTAAAGATCAGCTTGAGACGTGGGATAACCCCAAGGGGGTGTGTGGGAACTTCAATTCAAGCTGACAGTTCACAGCCTGCAAAGCTTCTTGGGCATCTTGTTGCAAAGTATCTCTCAAAATAAAGTGGGGGAAATTGCCACCTGTTGTAAATAGCACTGACAACCCCAGTGGAACCTGCCTGGGATGCCCAAGTTGATGGGAATGTGTGTCAAGAGATCATTCAACAGCTGGAAACCAATGCAGGAAAAACAAAATGTTGTGTGTAAGTGGGTCCCACATCCCAAACCCAGGTTCTCTTTTCTCCCTTCCAAGTGCCAAGTTGTTTTATTGGTGAAGACAGGGACAAGGATCTTTTCAGGTGTGGGATCTAGGCCAACCCACAAGATGTGATGTTTGAGGCTGAAAAGCCTCAAACAAGACACCCCTGGCCAGGCTTGGGGACAGAGCATCCATCCATCCAGTGAGCCTGGTCTCTGCACCATTTCCATCTCTCCCTCAAACAGGTCAGCTGAGTCCAGAGGCTTTTCCTGGTTTATTGAGCCTGTTTCCCTGGTTTGCTAGCAGATCTCTGATTAGAAATTCAATTGCAAAGCCAGAGAGTTTCTCTGTCTCTTTCCTGGCACTCTGAAATGCCAAACAACAGCATCTGGAGAGAATCACTCAGCAGGTTGCTCACATCCCTTTGCCATCTCCTCCTTGAAGGCACATGGATAACTCCCACTAGCCTTCAGGGGAGCTGCCTCAGCCCAATTACAGCAGACTCCAAGCCAAAACCACTGCAGAAGGGAGGACTAAACCCCAAATCCAAGCCTGAAGCTACTTTCTTACCCCTAAGTGACCTCGAGGTCTGCTCAGCTGCTCCAAAATAAACCATATTTCAGTGTAACCAATTATCTCCCACCAGCTCCAAACACAAAAACTAGCAGAGCCCAAGCAAGAGGCTGTTTGATCCACTGGTTTATGTGGATTTCCACTGGGGGTTTGAGTTGTTTTCAGCTTGTTGTGTCCTTGCCAAAGCTCCTGCGAGATCACAGAGCCTGAAAGCCTTGCCAAGAGCTCCTAGATTTTATTTACTATTAAACTGGTAGTCATGTTTGAAACAAAACAAACCTTTCAGGAACTGAGCAGATGACTCACTGTGCTCCCTTCCAACCTGACACATTCTGAGTGTCTGAGCTTAACCTACCAAACACAACACATTGCCCCAAAAACCTGTCTGCAGGTGGTTGTTATAATGCCAAGTGGAACATGCAAATAGCTCCTTTTCCTGTGCTATATCCACCCCAAATCTCATCTCTGCTGGAAGCAAAATCACACCCATAGGTTAAACACAGCAGTTGTGTCCCTGGAGAAGGGATAGTGAGACCCAAGAACAGCTGAGGGTGAGGGATAACTCTCGGGTGTCTCTGCCCTTAAAATTCCCTTCCCAGACCAAAAGGCTCCTGATCCTGTGGAACATGATACAGTCAGGGTCAGGAGGGGAGTGAGAGGAGGAGATGAGCTGTGACATGCATTGGGCTGTTGGTATTTGCTGTGGGGGCAGCTGACAGGAGCTTTAAGGGAAGTTCTTCCCATTGTAGCATCTCTACGGAGAGAAATTCCAACCCTCCTCCCCAAAACTGTCTCTGATTGCTGGGTTTGTCCACGTGGGTTTTCCTAAATAAATGTTTCTTTTGTGAGACTGTGTGGCAACTGGTTAATTAGTCCTCGGTGATGAGAGGTGAGAAGTGGTGGTTTGGTGGGAGCAGAAGTTTGGTTAATTAGTCCTTGGTGATGAGAGGTGGGAAGTGGTGGTTTGGTGGGAGCAGAAGTGGTGAAAGGTGGAAAAGCCAAAACTATGTGGAAAAAAGGAGCGGAAGGAAGCTAAAATATCACCACTACAGCAACAAAAAGGACCAACCCTCAAAACTCATCCACAAAGCTGCGACCAGACATACATCACCGATTCCCAAATCATGGAAAAGGCTCAAATCCCTCCTGGAGCACAGGCCACTCCCCTCTCTGTGTGGGGCTGGAGCAGCTCCAGGCTCGTGGATCCGCTCAGACGTTGGTTTTCCAAGGCCTCACCACACTGTTGGGAGAGCAAAAGGGAATGTAAGGAGTGAGCAGCCACTTTTCAGAGCCCCCAGCCACACCCTGCAATTGATCCCAGTTGACTGTAATTAGCAGGTTTTTAATTAGAGGAATCATAGAATCAGCTGGGTTGGAAGAGACCTCCAAGATCATCCAGTCCAACCCTACTGTGGTCACTAGCCCATGGCACTAAGTGCCACATCCAGTCTCAGCTTGAAAACCTCCAGGGATGGTGAATCCACCACCTCCCTGGGCACACTCCTGCACATCCACACACCATAGAAGGGATGAGGATGTGCTTATTGCTTATCAAAAATACTCATCAGTTACAGCGACCTGTGGCTTGGGACAGGCAAATCCAAACTCCTCATGCTTTGGTTCATCCCTCCAGCTGCAATTCCATATGAAAACCTCTCAAAATCAAGAGCTACCTGGTGGGTGGCACCCAAAGAGCAAAGTTTTGTCATTGGCTGTGTCTTTTTTTAGCTGCTCACAGCCATCACGGCAAGTTTTGTAGACTTCAATGAACACATCAATCTGATTATCTGCTCT